TGCACTTCCCTATTTCATTGCAGTCGGCTGCACCAAACATATATATATATAAATATACATACATATATTCCCACTCTGATATCCAGCTCTGTGAGCTCAATTATTTTGTGTTCGTAATTGTACGTTTTTTGCTTTAAAAGTGATTGATTGGCTTATGTTGTTCTTATGTTCCAGTTAAGATTATTATGCCTTTAGTTAAGCTGCAGGCAGTAGTTTTAGAATTATCAACGGTTTAAAATTTTAAATGGCGATAAGCCTAACGAGGCTGCCATTTGTTTACATTTGAGACTTACTAAATAGTGAATTAAGTCAGTTTAGCACTAATTTCAGTGTCTCTTTGTTCAGCGGGAGGAAAAATTAACTTTTAATATCGTGCACCGAAAATTTGTTCTCCCTGCCTGTTGGACTAAATTGCTCCTGCTCTAAATTGTTTGCTTGCATTGAAACTTTGATTTTAACGGTAAAAATTATTTTTTAACAATTTTTAACTGTATTTGGCATTGTTGGTTTTTCCGTATTTTACAATTTTTAATGAAGATGTTTTGAGGTTTTATGCATTTTTGCTTTGCCACGAAGTGAGAACTGAATTGATTGAATGAGAAAAATATCTATAATGAAATTCGGGGAGATAGGCTTAAAATATCTCTTTATTTCTTACTTATAATACTCATTTATCAATTTTACTGTAAAATGGCACTAAAACATTTCGTAACATTTTATTTCGATTCTAAATTTTGAATACTTCTGTGTCAATGAATGATTTTCAAGAGCAAATTATCTCGAAAGAGAGTTTAGTCCTTGGAAGCTGACTGATAAATCAGTGGAAGCGAAACCGTTACGACAAACGAAGATACATTATCTGTACGAGATGAAGTGCTGGTAAATATTAATTCCTGCTTTTTGTTCTTGATGAAGATGAATAAGTTGCTATGTTTATCAACATTACTCCTACATTTCGGAAGTGAACTTTAGATGCATGCGCTCTGTATGTACACTGCGAAAAAAAAAAAAAAAAGGAGAGTTCTATATTTTCCGTTCTACTGCGGCGATTGACGAAATTCAAATTGTTTTTTTCATGTCTCGAAAGCGCAACTTAGGATATGTACCAGATTTATATATAGCATTGTTATAACATAGGTATTTTGACACAAAATCGGACTTTTTTCTGAAATAACATACCAATTGTTTTTCATATTTCGATTCAACGATTCAAATTATGCCTGAATATTAAATTTTGTAAAATTTGGTGCGAAATTTACTGAGAAATTCACAAATTTATATTGGCATTTTTTCCAAGAATAATTCACTTTGCGAACTTCTTAATATATGGCAACCCATTTTCCTTGCCCTTCCATTATGCAGGACAAGAAAAAAAAGTCACATCGTTCCTAGCTTTGACACATCGTTCATACATTCAAATAATTTTAATAGAGGGCTTACACAACATTTCCGTTATAATAAATACGTCAAATTTCAAAGCGCACTAAAATGTAAATTCTGGTATTTCTTCGGAAATTTCGAATAAAAAGTTCTTTGACGGTGTGCATGATAACATTTCACTTGCAGCTGTTAAGCACATGTTTAGCTATTACACTAGTTTTTGTACAATAAAATTAAAATCTGGGAGAGCAATGATTAATTTTTTGTCTCTCTGATTGTCAGTGGAAAGCTTGTAGCTCACAGGATAGCACTGAAACAATTCTATACGATAGTTTGGTTAAAACTAAAAGTACTGAAGATGCTCTGATCATTGTGTATAAACACTGAATTATACACTGTAAATTTATTTAATTGAAACTGAGAAGATTCCAGGAGAAAATAAATTATTCGATGTCCCAGATCACTTCGGTTGACGACCATTTCTGTATATAAAATTTGTCTAAGGCGCGGAAAAATTTCTCTGTGTATCAAGGGCCAGCAAAATTGTCACTGTGACTTGTTTCAAATGGTTTTGTATTGAGTTAAATTTGCTGGACCACACAATGTGTTAAATGGGCTGATTCTACCTGTTTTAAATTCGCCCTATTGAGTTAAATGTGCTAGACCAGATAATGTTAAATGTGCTGATTCCATCAGTTTCAAATTCGTCCCTATTGCGCAAAATGTGCTGGACCATATAGTATTCAATGTGGTGATTCTACCTGTGTCACATTGTCCTACTGATTAAATGTGCTGAACCTCGCAGTGGTAAATGTGCTGATTCCTGGACCATACAGCGCTAAATGCGCTGCTTCCACCTCTTTCAAATTCATCGTATTGAGTTATATGTGCTAGATCACATTATGGTAAATGTGATTGCATTTGTTTCAAATTCATCCTATTGAGTAAAACGTGCTGTGCCACACAGTATTAAATGTGCTGATTCTACCTGTTTCACTGTCCTATAGATTAAATGTGCTAGACCACACAGTGGTAAATGTGCTAATTGCACCTGTTTCAAATTTACCTATTGAGTTAAATGAGCTGGACCACAAAGTGGTAACTGTTTTGATTTCACTTACAGTTTTGATACACTTACCACTCTGTAAGTGAAAACACTTACAGAGTGGTAAGTGTTTTAAACAGTTTCATATTCATCGTATTGAGTTAAATATGCTGGACCGTATAGTGTACAGGATTGAATTACGATTGCGAATATAATAGCAAAATGTACGCGTTCATATGACGGTAATTTTACTAATTTGAATTGCCTACTTTAAAGTAATATATCAACAAAAAGTGTCGATCGTATATTGATGATTAACCACTTGTTTAAGAAAGTCATATTTTTGTAATTGCATGATTTGTCAAAACAGAATTACAGGAGAAAAGTATAATACCATGATATTGTTACGAATTTTGTATTTAGATAGCTAATTTTAGTAGAATTATAGGCGCGCGTGCATTTAACGTTGAGTAAATGTGCATCTCGGTAATTTTTATTGAAATTGCATAAATGTATTTGACCACTATATCAGCTGTAACCGTAATTTCAGCCTGTTCCCAGTAATTTCGGGAAGCATAAAATACTAGAAATAGCTCGCGACATGTTGAAAACTATAAAAAGCCAGAGAGAGAGCATCTCAGCTCAGTTGCTTAGTTACTGTTTTTGTGAGTTGTTATTTCCGAGCGAACTGAGATAAATTGGAGTTAGCTTTCTACCATCTTTTTCCGAAAACAAGACACTGTTTTACTTTCTTTTTTGGTCCAAAATACGCGCTAGGGCTTATTTTCGGGGGAGGGCAAAAATAAAAGTATATTTATGTAATTTTATTAAATATTTATTTTACACAGAATACAGAAATTTAAATTTATTCAATTACATTCATGTCATCTTCTTCTGGAACATCGTCATAAATAAAATTCTGAATTATATTCTGATTTTCTTTCAAATCCAATTCCTGTTGAATCATTGGTCCGAATCTCTCATGTCTTGCGATATAGCTATCGTTAAATGAATACTTCTAGCCTGTTCGTAGGGCATTGAAAACATCACTATCAGTTATTTTGTCCCATGAATTTTTTACCCATTAGTCACCCCTTTTGATTTTCGACTCATTCTGTGGGGTTTGGAAAAAGGTCGTATGTGTCTCGGGGGTTACGGTTCAGCCCAAATTTCATCCCGACGAGAGTCTGCCGACGCTAACGCATGACGATGCCTTTACTGTGAACGTATCTCTCTCGGGGCAAACGGTAAACTGGTTAAGATAAATTCCAAGAATTAATTTGAAACGAACTGTAGAGGGAAACAATTAATTTCACGGAATATTTTGTTTCAAACATTTCTCTGAAATACGAGTATTAGGAAAGCTAAACATATTATTACTTATACTTAATAAAACAACAACATTTTTTAACGAATCCTTTTTGTCACATTATTTTAACTAGGGATTATTTTTGGAGGATGTCTTATTTTACAAAAAGTTCCGAAAATCACGATAGGGCTTATTTTCGGACAATGTCTTATTTTCAGAAAAAGACGGTATTTAGATGCCCTTTGCATTAAGTTATATTTAACGTTTTTAGTAATTTGAAGTATAACTACTGATTATATTGCGTGAAACTGTGAACACTTGTACCAATTTCTCTGAGGAAAATTCCATCGTTCTGATACACTTCTTTTGATAAGAATAAATTTTATTAACTTATTATTGAACTTGTGCATTCAATCTATTACGAACCTGTACGCACGCAACAGTATGTTTTATAAGGTATTTCGCCCTCCTTCTTAGCATGCCTTCGTAGTGTAGTGGTCAGCACAGTAGACGCGTATGCAAAAGGTCCATGGTTCGAGTCCCGGCGAGGGCATTGCTCATTTTTTCATCTCCTGCTTCGAAATACTTAATGTCGCTACAGTGGCGCCCGAACTAAAAGGGTGGTGGATGATGATTCTCCACCCCCAGGATTTAGCGACTGGGCCCCCTAATCTCCATTCGCCCTTTAAAAGGGGGAGTATATAAGGTATTTCTCCCACTTTCTTAGTATGCATCGTAGTGTAGTGGTCAGCACACTCGACGCATATTCGAGAGGTCCATGGTTCGAGTCCCGGTTAGGACACTACTCATTTTTGACATCTCCTGCTTAGAATGTCTCTAATGAATCTAATGTCTCTACAGATATACTGAAAAGAAATTCTTCAATAATAAAATGTAAAGCAGAAATGTTTTACTGCAGATTACATTCATCACATTACTACATTAATCAAAGCTATTGCCCCAGTATTAAAAAGGGAATTTGAATAATGTTTTCTAATCTTAAGTTACATATTGATTACAAATTTAAATTATCATTAAGATCCTAGGAATCCGATCAAATCTTAGGAATACGATAAGGAGACGAATGTAGTAATATTTTTGTACTCTAGAATAAATGTTAGGTAAAATTGCGCTAATTTACGAAATACGAAATTTAGAAATCAGGAGACTTCGCCACTAAAAATATTTAAAATTATTTTAACGGTAAAGAAACTAGAGCTACGAACCTTATTTATAATAATCGATTCATTATTTTTTGTATTTTAGCTCAACAATCATACAAGTGTGACTTTGAACAAAACATTTGTTCCTTTCTGTCAAATGATCGGAGAAACTACGAAAACTGGAAAATAGGAAGAGGAAAGTTGAACTCTGCTGATACAGGACCTTCTGTGGACCACACTCTTGGGACAGGTAAGTAGAGAGAATGTTGTCAAAATTGATATTGAAATCCGGTAATATTAAAGGAAACACACTTAAATTAAATCGCTATTTACTGCGAATTAGAAATAAAAGGTGGTTAAAATTAAAACGCCCCTACTCTGAGCTCTCTGTACATCGAACTACTAAGTGTAAAGGCTCCAAAATTATTGAACATACTATTCAAAACATGGGTAAACGAAGTATGTGAAAAAAAATTAGTTTCAGAAACACTGATAGGTGAGACTGTAGAACAGAACATATGCTGAAAAGAGCATCTCAGCTGTTATAACACATTTTATTCGAATGTACCAAACATTCATATCTAAAAGACCTTATGGCTGTAAGGAAAGCTGCTCAATATGGTTTCCTTCTTCAAGATGTAAAATCTGCAGTCTGTAGGCAGCTTGTTTAACTGCGCATCGTAATGGGTCGATTGAGATGCTTCTCACATGCAGAGTGATAATGTCTTTCAAATCTGCCAAAGTTACCACACGTCGTCGATAAACAAGATTTTTTAAGTGAACCGACAGCCAAAAATCACATGGCTTAAGATCTGGAGAACGAGATGGCCAGAGAGCGAAACTGCAGTTACAATGACAGTTTAAGTTTCTTTACTTTTTTGTGTTCGTTTTTCATATTATCAATAGAAATTAAAAAGGAATATTTCCATACTTCACGTCTGTTTTTTTTTTTTTTTGATTATTTATGCCCTTTCAGCGCATTTTCTGTTGCACAGCGTCATCTATCAGTGTTTCTGGAACTAATTTTTTTTTTTCACATAATCCGTTTTCCCATTCTTCAATAGTATGTTCAACAATTCTGGGGTCTTTACACTCAGTAGTTCGATGTATAAAGAGCTCAGAGTAAAGGGTGTTTTAATTTTAACCACCTTGTAAATAAATATATGAAGATGACTAGTTGTTCTCATGTTCCGAATTTGGTAATTTTAGTGACCTTAGGTCTTGATATGAATGCAAAATGTTCTTCAAGTTATGGTCATAATATCTTTAATCTCTTTTTTTTTTTTTGTTACCCGTCATGCGTTACAATATTACTTAAAGGGAAGAAATGTGTTTCTGTTTCAATTCTGTTATAAAATATTTTCTTTATGGATATTTTGCATGCTAGGACTGGCTTATGTGCCTGATACAAAAGCTGATATTGGTTTGGGTGGTGTATTTAATCCTAACAATTACTTTTCCCGGCGCAGCATTCCATTTTATTCTTAGTTCTTCATTCTAATTCTGACTTGAAATATTCAAGGCTCTGCAATATATGCATAATTTATCGATCTTTCGAACGATCACACCTGGAGGAAGACTGTAATCATAATTAGCACTGTAATGGAATGCATCAAGATTTAAATTAGCGTGCAGTGTCTGTCTGGATCGAGCAATACTCCAACGTTTTCCAGTCTTGCTTCCTGTTGCTCTTTCACATGAATGGCTTCGAATAGCAATTACTCGAAGGTTTTCTAGTCTTGTTTCGCGTTGCTCGTCTGTTTCAGACGGATGTTCTTGAGCAGTGCCTAATCAAACGTTTCCCAATCTTGCTTTTCATTTCTTGTCTGTTTCAGACGAAAAAACCTTGAGTGGTGGATACTCGAACGTTTTCCAGTCTTGCTTCTCTTTTCTCGTATGTATCATAAAAACGGGCTTAAGCAGAGAGTACTCGAACATCTGTTCCTACTGTAGTTAGGTCAGGCGTGGCAAGGACTCATAACGGTACTGTCAAGTCTGACTCTGAGTAGCGCGCGTTTGCCTTTGGGCTATGTCTTCCTAAGCTGTTGTTACGCTCGGCCGTATTATTACGTGCCCTTTGATAGTTCGCCGGCTAGTTCAGATTACAGGCCACCTACATTAGAATTGTGTTAGCTTCGGCTAAACCTCTTAGTAATAGTTAGTTCTTATTTCTTACTTTTGAATGTAATCCTAATTGGAGGCTTTGCTGTACGCCCAAAGAAAGCGACCTACTGTTAATCTTTTTTTGAGTGAATAAAGGATAATTAACCCTTCTTGAGTTTACGCTTTTTGTTCTTTGAACTAAGCGATATTTTCCTTAACAGTTCACTAGGTTAGTCGCCACTTCATTTAGCAGAATGAAAGTGAGGAACACTGTGATGAAAGACCTCCTGTTTACCCATAGTGAATTAGTAGAACTGCATCAAGACAAAGCAAGCGGCACGTGAAAGTCCGCTGTGAATTTCCTGTAAAAATTGGACAAGAAACGTATATCAACGTAGTACACTTCACTGATATCCCTACTAAATCTCCTGATGTATCATCAACGGGTTTTTGAGCTTTTAAACTTTTAAAAGCGAATTGTCAAAACGTGGACCTACAACTCTTCTTGGATTTTGGATAGCTTTTCAAGAGGAATGGGGTAAAATACCTGTTTAGATATTAAAAAAGGTTGTACTGTCTTCGAAATTAAGATGGAGAACGATAGTGAAGAATAAGGTTTATCAATTAGAACATTTAAAACACAAAAGCTTTAGGTGAAATATTTCTGTAACTACAATAAACGTCGTCTAAAAATGTGCGAACAAGCTCTGTATAACAGATCCATTGGAATGTAGAGGAAATATGGATTGAAATTTAGAGATCTATTGGAATGTAAAAGTGGATTGCAATGTAGAGGACTTCCAATGGACATATGGATTACAACGGACTTCCAATGGATTCCAATGGACAGATCCATTGGAATGTAGATGAAATATGTGATTGAAATTAAGAGGGAGAAAGATAGTGAAGAATAAGGTTTATCAATTAAACATTTAAAAGATAAAAGCTTTAGGTGAAATATTTCTGTAACTACAATAAAAGTCGTCTAAAAATGTGCGAACAATCTCTGTATAACAGATCCATTGGAATGTAGAGGAAATATGGATTGAAATGTAGAGGTTGGATTGAAATGTAGAGATCCATTAGAATGTAGAGGTGGATTCGGAATGTAGAGGACTTCCAATAGACAGATGGATTCCAATGGACTTCCACACTATACGTCACACAAGTGAGCATTAGACACTTGTGTGACGTATAGTGTGGAAGACTTAACGAAACTATACGTCACTATACGTCGTTCAGACTCACCGGCCACCTTTCGCACTATAAGGGCGGAAGGTTGGCCGGATTTAACCATGGTTTCTTCCCAATTAGCAAATGAAATGTCGGAATGGCATGTTATGGACATTCCCTCTCTGAGCGACCACAGAATAATCAGCTATCTAATGGGCGCTCAGTTAACTTATACTCTGAAACAGAGGTTCAAGACAGCTTATGGAGGACATCAGAAGTTCCTTAATCTGCTTCGTCCTTATGTAGGTCAATTGATTTTCAACTTCCAAGCAAGCAACACCATAGACCAGGGGTCGCCAAAGTGGTCTATATAGACCCCTAGGGGTCTATTTAACAACAGTAGGGGTCTATCTGACCCAAGGGGTCGAATGGGGGTCTATTGGGACTCGAAGGAAAAACAGTTCTTAATACGCAAATCACACATATCTAACTGCGTACGTAAAAATTTAAAATATTTTTATAATTGACTTAATATTATATTCTTTATAGAAAATAAAAAATAATAAATCAGAAAACAATCTGCCCCTTTTTTTCCTTATGGGTTTTCGTATGTATACCGTGACGTCACAACTTGACCTTGTGACCAGTTTGTAATTTGCACGACTCATAGTATGTAGCCAGAAGAGCGATTGAGGCTTATCCGTGTCTCTTGCTGGCGAACCCATCAACCAATTAGGAGCCTTTGGCGCAGACTTGGCGAGCGACGACACTGCCGTTGGCTTTCTATGCATTAAGCGCGAAGGGAATCTTCAGTACTCCGTTTTTCTTTCTTCTTATGTGTGTGGTTTTAGTTCTTTTAGTTTTTTTTCTTTTTTATACGGCAGTTACGCATCGTGTCGTTGGTTCGCCCTTTGTCTCCATCGCAAACCATACGAGCCTTGCATATGAGTCAGATGCATATGTGCGCTTGTCCAATTCTACACTGGATGCTACAAACGCAAATATCATATGCATTTTCAGCTATCTTTGTGAACTGTGAACAGTATTAAAATGCTTGTAGTGTCATTATTACTACTATTATATCTACCATTGGATAATGAGTTATTGTTTCTATAAAACTATTCGTTTAGTTTTGATATCAATTTTAATTATTGTTACTTGTGAAAAGGTAAGCTTTAATAATGTGGATTAGTATAATATACCAACTTAATTTTAACTTATTTACAGAACCCTAATTTAAAAATGACAGCTTCAGTATCTAAAAAGAAATGTGTCGGTATTATTCATTGGATTACTTAAAATTTGGATTTATTTGTTCACCGACAAATGAAACTATTCCTATGTGTCTTATATGCGAAAAACTTTTGGAAATGAATACATGAAACCGTCAAAAATGAAAGATCATCTTGAAAGGCTTCATTCAGATAAAAAAAAAAAGTGAAGAATTAGAATTTTTCAAAAAACTCAAAGAAAAATTCACATGTCGACCAACTCTAAAAAGTTTTATGAAACATTCTACTGAACAGTCAGTCTACTGAAACTGAAAATGAAGGAGGATTAATTGCTTCGTACAAGATTTCGCTTAATATAGCAAAGAGGGGAAAACCCCACACAATCGCAGAAGAAATTGTAGTACCTGCAATTAAAGACGTCATTGAGAATGTGATGAAAAAGACTCTACTAATGTTTTAAAGTCTTTGCCATTAAGTGCAAATTCTGTAAAACGGCGTATTGACGAAATGGCCGAAGAAATAGAAAACACAGTAGTTTTCGGAGCTAAAAAATTGCAAGTTCTCTATACAACTTGATGAATCTGTTTTTTGGCGTTTCTGCTATTCTTATGGCGTATGTTAGAAATTTCAGTAAAATTAAAGGAGAAGTCATTGATGAATTTTTATTTGCTAAAAATCTTGAAACCGATGGGAAGGGAGTGACAATTTTTAGATGTTTAGAAAAATATTTAAATAAATATGA